TAACGGTAGTTCGAACTAGGAAGCCTAGTTCAAACTACCTAGTTCGTGCCACGTGTAGCCGCGCGGCACAGGGTTCGAACGAGCGGGGATTTAAAAATGGCAGAGCCCCGCTTATGCAAATGAAGCCCGGGAAATTCAAATCCCGGGCTTCATTTGCAAGTGCGGTATGCCTACATTACCCCGCTAGTTCGAACTAGGAGGGTAGTGTAGACATACCCTAGGATACTAGAAGTCTTATCTGGCATTGCTCAGGGCCAGGGCTGGCCCGGGGCAATTAGGGCTGCATAGCCTGCACACTGACTTCTCCCTAGCTCGGGGTTGGGCAGAGGTGGGACCAGAGAGGCCCACATAGCCTGTCCACTGGCTTTTCTCTGGGGCTGCACAGGCCACCTACTCGCTTTTCCCCAGGGCTGGCCCGGGGAGGAAGGGGACCACATGATCCAGTCGGCAGCTGCTCCCCAGAAACAGCCAGATTGGTGGCTGCTACCTGGGGGTGACCTAGGGCAGCAGAGGCTGCATGGCATGGAGGCCTGGAGATGGCACGGTGGTGTGCGGGTGACATGGGACAATAGGGCCTGTGCAATGCCTGGCAGCTGCTCTCCAGGGCAGGCTGGGGGGGGGGGGGAGCCACTCCCTGGGGCTGGGGCACTTACTGCCTCCCCTGTGCTTGCTGCCCCCTGTGGTAATTCATGAGTATAACTTTCCCTGCTATTTCACACCTCCCTGTTTGAAATGAAACAAATCACATTCCACACACATGCCATTGTCCTGGCACAACAAATCCCTGACCTTGCTCTAAGTTAGGATAAGAGGAAGCTGCATACCAAATTTGGTGGTCTTAGCTCTTCCCATTTAGGGAACAAACAGACTCACAGACAGATGGACACACAGACAGACAGACAGGCTCACTAAAATATATAATAGAATTCATTATTTTCATTATCTGACCAGGGTTATATAGAGTCAACTACTATTTGTCAAATAAGTAACCTGGGGTGGGGAGGGTGGTTCAGCCATGTGTTGAGTAAAATATACACTAACATTTCTTTTTTATTCTCCAAGCACCTCAATGAGAGTTATTTATAGGACATTAATTACTGAAAATACACAGTAGTAGTTCATGGAGTATGCGTGTTTCTAAACCAAACAAGTGTATGTTGGAATGAAAAAGACAAAGCTAGTTTAAATGTAGAACTTTACCTGAAGTGAGTTTGGAGATACGTCACGGAAATATTTGAGGCCATCGTTAGAATCAAAATGAGTAAGTTGATTGTCTCAGTAATTCTTGGAGATAGTTGAACAAAACACTTTCCCCATTTGCCTTTTGTAACTCCACACTTGGGAAGTAATGCTGCAGACTATTTATCTGAAGCAGTCTTGGCAAAACTTTCACTGCTGTCTTGGCTTTTCTTTGCAAAAGCAATTAATCAATCAATCAATTGCTTATCTCTCTTTCTATCTAACTACATATGCCAATCTTTGTTGATAGCTTTTTTTTTTTGGCTACAACATGCAATTTGGGGTATGTTGTATCTTTAAAAGGACAATGTGAAGTACACTAGGTAAAGACTCGATAGCCACCATCTTGAGAAGCTGCAGTAACCATGCTCTCTGTACTACTGTCTCTGTAGAGTTAGCATTTTAATGGTTTTCACTCTAATTCAGAATACATACTGTAGCTTTGTTAAAATGTGCTGGGCGAAGTCTCTGAACTTTAGATATCTACATTGTTTAATAAAACTATTGTTGTGTCACCAAAAAAATTAAAAAGGCACATAATACCCATTTGCTAAATGACCTTGCGGATGATGTTAAGCTTGTCACATATCTCAAAGAGCAAGAACTATTTTACAAATCCCATACCAGCTGCTGTATTGAAATCAGTATAAACACAATCATGCAACATTTAAGAAGACAAAGAATTCACACAAGATTTGCATTTCATAAGAAACAGACTGAGAGGACTGACAATGTCTGTGAAGAGAAAAGGACATAGGTGTCACTTCTATCCTTGACTTTATAGGTGTAATGCCCATTGACCTGTGTCCAGAGGCAGTAGCAAACTGCTATATTTAAAAGCCTCTGAGAGGGTATGATTCAGAATCGAGACTAGAAAATAATTAAAATGAAAAGTGCTTCAAAGAAAAGTATCTCTTCAGCAGCTTGGGACTGATTCAGTTTAGTATTTGTGTCCTGGACTTGCTGCTGAATGGTAATATATGAATGGTTTGACTAAGTCCTAGTTCTCGCCGATGCAGCATATGGGAACAGGATCTTTCATTCCCAGGGCTATATAATGTCTAATAAACTCTGCAGCAAGAATGCCAGATTTGTGCAGCACAGCCAGCTGGTGTAGTCTAGTTGTCTATTAAGCTACGTTTTTACTTTCATTATTGACGGGGAGAATTGAATGTCTAACTTTCTCAAATAATGTTTCTGGCAGTTCTGAAGTTTATTTCCAGAGCATCTGTGTTGCTAGCAGTGTATATTCTAAATGAAAACCCTTTAGAAAGCAGCCCTTACTACTCTCAGGGTGAAAAGTATTTCCTTACCTGTGTTATTCCCAGATAGGAAACTAGGACATTCATGAAGCTGCTCTTGAATGCCCATTGAGGAGGGGGAACATCAGGAGCATGCCAAGAAGAACAGGATGTGTATTTGGCTCTGAAAACCATCGTTCTCTCGCAAGATTTAGGCATGGTTCAGGAAATGTCCTTCCCCTCACATTATGGCCCACCCTTGAGCTTGAATTGCCCCTCCTTCTGAGTCATAAGAACATAAGAACGGCCATACTGGGTCAGACCAAAGGTCCATTTAGCCCAGTAGCCTATCTGCCGACAGTGGCCAGCACCAGGTGCCCCAGAGAGGATGGACTGAAGACAATGATCAAGCGATTTGTCTCCTGCCATCCTTCTCCAGCCTCTGACAAACAGAGGCCAGGGACACCAATTCTATCCCCTGACTAATAGCCTTTTATGGACCTAACCTCCATGAAATTATCTAGCTTCTCTTTAAACTCTATTATAGTCCTAGCCTTCACAGCCTCCTCTGGCAAGGAGTTCCACAGGTTGACTACACGCTGTGTGAAGAAGAACTTTCTTTTATTAGTTTTAAACCTGCTACCCATTAATTTCATTTGGTGTCCTCTAGTTCTTCTATTATGGGAACTAATAAATAACTTTTCTTTATCTGCCTTCTCCATACCACTCATGATTTTATATACCTCTATCATATCCCCCCTCAGCCTCCTCTTTTCTAAACTGAAAAGTCCCAGTCTCTTTAACCTCTCCTTATATGGGACCCGTTCCAAACCCCTAATCATTTTAGTTGCCCTTTTCTGAATCCTTTCCAAGGCCAAAATATCTTTTTTTTGAGGTGAGGAGACCACATCTGTATAGTCAAACTCAAACTGTGTGAAGAGTGAGAATGGTGGGCGATTGGTCATAGATCCCTGACTCAGTGTCACCAGTCCTGTCACAGGAACAGCCCCAACATATGACAAGAGATAGGCCTGCCACCAGGAAGTGTGGGGGGTGGAGCTTAGGAGACAACTGCCCTGTGGCTCGGTGATGCAAAAGGGCCCAGGGCTCCAGCTGCTGCTGCTTTAAATTGCCCTTGAAATTGCTGCCGGAGCCCCAGGTGGCACACCCCAGATGGCGCTGAGGGAAGGTGAAGTCTGGGTGGCCCCTTCTGCCCGAGGTTCTGCCCCTTTGTGGAGCATAGAGCTGCCCTCCCACACCTTGCCCAGGGCCCATCCTGCCTGACCAGAGAGACGAGAGTGTAGTAAAACTCCAGTCAACCATGGTCACCTTCCTTGTCTGTCTGTGCCCTGCTTCCTCCTCCCCCTGGTGCTGGAGAGGATCAGGAGCAGGAGGCAATGGAAAGACCTTCCCAAGATGTCAAACAACAGAGAATTCCTTACAGTGGGGGTACACTGGCTGACTCCAGGTGTCTGGCCTCAATGGCAACATGGCTCCTATGATTACCTCAGAGGCTCCTCCTCCTCCAAACCCCTCTGAGGGGGAGGGACTGCAGTGGAGGGACTGCAGTGTTTTGAATAACTCATAAATTAAAACTGTCACCATCCATAGTAATTCATGAAGGGAAACCCTATGGGACTGAAGAAGGGAGATTGCTATGGAAAATGGATGTGTGTCATCCACATCTACATCTTGAAGCTTGATAACACAGAGCACTTGGGAACAGGCTTTTCTGGGAAAAAAGATTAGTATGTTATAGAGCCAGTACAACCCATGCACCTAATAGGGAGCTATCTTTTTAAGAAACCCCTGTGGGGGAGGTAGGAGCACTTCCACTTCCTGCACCCCCTCACCTCTATCTGTTAAACTTTGCCCCCTCCCTCTATGATATTATGAAAACACAAAACATTATGGATACGTCTACACTACACTGCTATTTCGAATTAACTTAATTCAAAATAGTTAATTCGAGATAGTTAATTCATATTAAGCTAATTCGAAATAATGCATCTATACACAAAAGCTAATTTGGATCTATGTTTGATTCTATTCTGTTCCATCAGACGTCTATAGGAAAATGGCATCTTCTTTTATTTAGTCAAAAAATCAGTTCTCTGTGTTTTCAGAAGAGTATGTGCTGAGATCAGCGACCAATATTGGGGATTTTTTTTAGATAGAAAAATGATATGATCTATGGGCAAAAATTTTAAAACTAGTATCACAGCTTAAGCACCTAAAATTAATGTTAGGCACCTAAATAAAAGTGATTTTCAGAGGGGTCAGGCACCATTCTCACTAGTGCTGCTAGAGTACTTCAGATATTCAGTGCATTTGAACATCAAACAGCTTTTATCTAGGTGCTTCATACCTAACTTTAGGTTCCCAGTTTTGAAAATATCGGCCTCAATTCCAGCTTGAGTGTCACATTCTGCCCTAAGCTGCACCTGTGCAATATTGAAGAATGGGGCAAATGCAGATGTAAGCAAAATTTGCCTTATGGAACTTTCTGTGCTGATGAAGATGCAAGAGAAGGAAAGACGCCAGCTTGGCTCTCAGATCCTGAGTTAGGTCTCTAGGGCTGGCAGTTAGCAAAGCCATTGCTATACTTGTAAACTGACGATATTTGCTATGCAGTGCCATCTGGATTCCCCTCCTTCCAGACCCTCACGGGTTGGTTGAAGACAGGACTCATGAGACAGAGGAATTTCTGGGCTTGCAGCCTTTGTCACTA